GATTAGACAACAGCCTCGTTTTTGTGACGTCATAGGGAGAGATGGAGAGGTCAAAGGTCATGCATTGTGGATGACTGATTTATTGTTTTCTGGTATTGATTTATACCTATTTTTTGACCCCGCGATTCCTTTGTCCACTTAGTAGTTGTCATTTCCATTTCTTATTTATCATTTTGCTTATTTTATTCTCCTTTTCTCTTTCGCTTTCTTTTCTAGCTCTCTTTGACTCCTCTTTCGCCTCCCGCCATTCCTTTTTCTGCTTTATTCCTTCTCCTTCCACACCTGAGTTTCCCTCTCTCTCTTCATCTCCTATCTTTCTCTTCTTTTGTCTCCCTTTTTTCTTCCCTCTCCCTTTTCCCTCCTTTCATCTCTCTCTGCCATTTTCTCACTCCGTCTCCTTCTGCTGTCTCTTTCCCTCTCCCCTCTTTCTCTTTATCGACTCGTCTCTCTTCCTCCCTCGTTTTTCTATTCTCCCTTCTCTTTCTATCCCTCCTTAAACCCGTCCCTCACCCCTTCCATCTTTCTATCATCCATCTCTCTCTCTCTCTCTCATTCTATCTCTCCTTCCCATGCCCATCTCTCTCCCCATATTCCCTATCACCCAACCCATCTCTCTTTCCCTCTCTTTCTTTCATTCTTTCTTTCTGTTTTTCTGTCTGTCTGTCTGTCTGTCTGTCTGTCTGTCTGTCTGTCTCTCTCTCTCTCTCTCTTTCTCTCTCTCTCTCTCTCTCTCTCTCTCTCTCTCTCTCTCTCTCTTTCTCTCTCTCTCTCTCTCCCCCCCCCCCCCCCTCTCTCTCTCTCTCTCTAACAGCTTCTGTAAACTACACATTGCCCATTGTAGTTTCGTGAAATCATAACGATAACTCGTTTTGAAGCAACTTTTCCAATAGAAGTCTGATAATTGCTTTTCCTGTGTTGACTTCACTCAACTTTAGCATCCATTGTTTTCATAGGTATGGATATATCACTGTTAATTGTGATTGTTATGGTGATAACAGTGACCTATATTGCAATATGGAGGTGATGACAGTGATATTAATAATAGCACTATTAACATCATTAATCTCACTGAAGAGGATATTATTTTCATTTCAACGCTGCTATTGATATTGAGATCTTCATTTTAATATACTTTTTATCATTACAATTCCGAGATTTTTTGCCATATTTGTTGTTGTTATTGTTATGATATTATTACTGTTTGTGGCGGAAGTGGTAGTAGTAATGATTATTATTGATGATGATAGTAGTGTAGATAGCAGTGATAATGATAGTAATATGAACAACAGCAATAATAATGATGATAGAAATACTAGTAGTAAGTAGTATATAGTAGTAATGACGATAATCACAATAATAGCAGCGAAGAAATGATAAAAATAATGATAATGATAATATGATAATGATTATAATAGTTATTGTTATTATTACAGCAACAACAACAGTAATACTAATAATACTACTAATAATAATAATAGTAACATTAATAATAACATTAATAATAATAATAATAATAATAATAATAATAATAATAATAATAATAATAATAATAATAATAATAACAACAATAATAATAATAATAATAATAAAATAATAATAATAATAAAAACAATAATAATAATGATAATAATAACAATATTGATAATAATAACAATAATGATAGTAATAATACTAATAACAATGAGAATGATGATAATGGCAGTAAAAACAATGATGGTAATAGTAATCATAATAAAGATAATGATAATAATAATAGCAATAATTATAATAATGATAATAATAATAGCAATAACTATAATAATGATAATATTGATAATAACAACAATAACAACAACAACAGCAACAGCAACAATAATAATAATAATATTAATAATAATAATAACAAAAATAACGATGACAATAATAATAATTATGATATTAAAAATGATACTGATAACAATAACGGTGATAATGATAACAAAAGATAATGATGATGATAATAATGATAACAATAACAAGTATCATATGATAAATATGATACTACTAATACTAATAGTAATGATAATAAAGACAATAACAATGACAGCAATGAGGATGATAATAGTAATAATTATAATGAAAATGGCAATGTCAGTAGCAATAAGAATGATAACAATAATGAAATAGTGAGATAATAATAATAATGAGGGTAATAATGATAACATGAAAAAGAAGAATAAGAATAAGAATAACCAAAATAATGAAATAATGAGATAATAATAATAATGAGGGTAATAATGATAACATGAAAAAGAAGAATAAGAAGAAGAATAACCAAAATAATGATAACAAAAGGGAACGAAAGATAAACGAGAAAGTGTGAAAAAAATGATTCAGCGAAAGCTTAAGAAATATCACAACAGCGTCTTACCGTTTCGTGAAAGGCTAGAAATTTTACACTTCGCTTGGAAAATACAAGAAAGAAATATTTCATAAGCCTTTCTCCGATACTCTTAAATATGAGAGCTTTTCTTTCGCCTCT